ATGGCTCAGAATCGATCACCATGGCGTCGGTGTATACACTCTTTGTCTTTCCTCAAACTATGGGATTAAAATCGCTTCATATCTTTCTTTCTACGAACTAGTTCTTTCTTCCTGTATCATGTCCTTATATGCAATCTTTCTTTTATATATTACCACCACTGAATTAACTACTTCTATGAATTTGGTGTTCATCTTGTTGTGCTGATGAGGTATGGCAACTTTGACCGATGTATATATGTGCCTGGCTCTACATTGTAGCTGACTTACTGATGTGTTGGGAAACTTAACTGAAGTAGATTTGTAGTAATCGCTCCAGCATTTTGACTCCATGCAATTACATGTTGACAAAATATTACCTTAGACTTGTTACGTAACCATTTTGTTAGTAGTTATTCTTGACTTCACAGTGTGTTTTATAAATTTAAAACCTGACAAACAGCACATGAAGTTTTGTGTTTTTGCCAAAGCTGCTCTCTTCCAACCTATGTGTAGAAAAATAGTGTCTGGAAATGCTAGTTTCTGATTAGATAGAGAGAGCTTACTCTCTCCAATAACTTGTTCTGTCAGTTTACCACCTTGCGCAGATAACTATATGGTCCTACTAATTAGATTGCATCAGGCTGTTCACGCTCTTAGATGGCAACTATTTTTTAAACCTGTCGAAATGTTAAGCTATTAAAGGTATTCCCGATAGCAACTGCTGTCAGACCTGAATAGCTGAAGTCAGTTGGCAGCAACCAATATATATATATATATATATATATATATATATATATATATATATTGATACACCAGTTGTACATTTGTCACTTCCTCAATCACAATCTGAAGTTATTATCAGGTAATCTTTATCGGTATGGATATGTGGTTAGTTGGTCTGTGTTTATCCTCTTGATTTGCAATTCTATAAAAAGCCAATCTCATTTTAAGTGTATCAAGAGAAGTTACTGATATTACCTGTTCTAGTATGTAATTCTAGTAATTCATAACATAATGCGCTAAAAGATGGATAGGTTTAGACTTCCATTTGGATTTCTTTTTTATTTATTTATTTATTTATTTATTTGAACACATAAATATTGGTACAGGGGGGCACCAAATATATATGCGCCACACAAAACAGTGATAATTAGAAGAGAAGGAGAAAAGAGAAGAAAAAAAAAAGTAATGAACGTGGGGAGTTATAAAAAAAAGAAGAGAGAGAGAGAGAACAATGGTGGGGGAAACGGAAAGGTACAATCAGAACAGATCTTTCAGTTAAGGAAGAATACGACCACCTTTTTATGAAGAAAGTAAAAGAAGGTTACAGCAGGATCGCCACTGGCTTCTATTCTGAGCCATATCTGATAACGTCTCTAGCCACTGCGTTACACCATCTCTCGGACCCCAACCAGGGAGTCGTGAAGGACCAACAGAAGCTAGCCCTTTGCAGCTTTCTTTCATACCACGACACCATGTCATATACTGACCACCTCTCCGCTTTTCCAACCAGTCCCAGAGTCGGCAAATAATGCACGACGAGGAATTCTCTGGGACGACATTCGTAGAACATGTCCAAGCCACCGAAGTCGGTGTTTCAAGATGGTGACACCAATTTCATTATCGTCTCTGTGACCGAACACTCGATGCCGAACCTCTGCATTACTGACATGGTGTTGCCACTGGATGCCAGCAATCCTTCGGAGACAACGATGATCGAACACAGAGAGTCGTCTAACATCCTCAACTCGGAGAGGCCAGGTTTCACAAGCATAGAGCAAAACTGCTCTCACCGTCGCGTTGTAGATCCGACCTTTTACAGCCAGACTAACATCACGAAGGCGCCAAAGATGGCCCAGATTGGCATAAGCCGCTCTGGCTTTCACTATACGTGCATTGATCTCATCACTCACGCCACCACCAGCACTTATGCAGCTACCTAGATACACGAACTTCTCGACTACTTCTATCTGCTCACCATCCAGAGTGAGTACAGGATTAGAATCCTGCCAGTCTTGTAGAAGTACTTTGCACTTCGAAGGTGCAAAGCACATACCATACCTACGGACACTGATTGCCAACTGATTAAGTGCGGATTGCATGGCTTGGGCATTCTCGCACAGTAAGACAATATCATCCGCATACTCAAGGTCGAGAAGTCTTTCTCCAGGCAACAGATCCACACCACCATTACTTACATCCGTCAGAGCTGTTTCCAGAATGTCATCGATGGCAAAGTTGAAGAGGAATGGTGAGATTGGGCAACCCTGCCTAACTCCACTGCTTGAATGGAATAGTGGAGAAAGGTGGTTGTATGCCCTCACTCTACCTGAGGTGTTTGTATATAAGGCTTTTAGGATGTTAATAAACTTCTCAGGCACACCCCTCTTCAATAGACAATCCCAGAGAACAGTTCTGTCCAACGAATCGAAAGCAGCCTTGATATCAAGAAACACTACGATTGTTGGCCTTTGATAAGTATGGCGGTGTTCTAACACTTGGCGGAGGGTGAAGATATGATCAATACATCCTCGACCAGAACGAAACCCAGCCTGCTCCTCGCGAGTCAATCCTTCTCGGGTTCTGAACAACCTACGAAGTATGACGGAAGCCAATAGCTTGGACGCAATCGGAAGTAGACTTATCCCCCGATAGTTGTTACAGGAACAACGTGAACCCTTTTTAAAGATAGGGACAACTATCGACTCATTCCATGACGTTGGTACACTCTCTAGTTCCCAGATCTTTGTAAACAACGTCGTCAGTCCTTTAGTCAGAAAGTCACCACCATCTTTAAAAAGAGCCGAAGGTAAGTCGTCTGGGCCTGGTGATTTGTAACGTTTCAAGAGTTGGAGTTCCTTGCGGACTTCCGCCTCATTTGGTGGATCAGTCGTCACCGGCCATGGAGGGCAGGACAGTCTGACCGATGTTGCCGGAGCAGCAGGCCAGTTGAACTGCCCTTCAAAGAATTCTGCCCATCGTCCAAGACGTCGATGGATGTTAGTGATTGGCGTTCCGTCATCCTCGCAGATTGTTTCGCTCACACCAGACTTCTTGCTGCCGGTGGCTCGGATGAGTTGGAAGAGCTTCCGGTAATTACCAGATGCAGCTGCTGCTTCCAACTCACTGGCACGCTCCGACCACCAGGTTTCTCGGTCCTTACGCAAGCTTTGCCCGATTTCATTACGTAACATCCTTCGTCTGTGGTCAAACTCACGGTCACCCGGAGTAGACCGACGGGCTTCAATCAGTTGTAAGGAACCAGAAGAAACCCAGCAATCTGAGAATGGTAGCTCACCATGTACATTTTATTTCGTGAATTTGATGTGCGATGAAAGTGTATTTATTCGTTTTGAAAAAGATCTTAGATGAGTCTTTTTTATAACAAAAAATCTATCGTATACATATCTAAGCCAAATTCGTGGTATAATGTGGGCGAAGATATTTAATTCTATGTATGCCATAAAAAGGTTGGCTACAATCGGGGATACAGGGGATCCCATTGCTACACCGATAGTTTGTTTGAATAACATACCGTTAAAAGTAAATAGCGTTGAATTTAAGCGAAGTTTTAAGGATTTCATAATTAGACTGATGCTCAACGGACATCTGTCAGGAAGAGTATTGTCATGGCACAACAGAAGAAATCCAAAGAATCTTGAAACACCACAGAATTAAAGTATACTACAAAACAACGAACACATTACGTAATACTTTAGTTCGCCTAAAAGACAAAATCCCTTTCATGTACACACAGAACTGTGTCTACAAATTAAGTTGTATCGATTGTGATGCCTATAATATTGGAGAGTCATCCCGCAAAATCTTGACTAGAGCCAAAGAACATATTAGATACACAAAGAAACCTCCTAACAATCCTGTAGAATTGAACCAACTTCAAATTAAATCGGCAATAGCAGTTCATGCCGTTTTCAACAACCACCAAATCGATTTTAAAAATATCAAAATATTGCAAAAAGGCTTTTCCAACTACAAAGAAAGGAAGGTAGCTGAGGCGTCCCATATAATGCTCAATCCTATTTCTCTCAACAGAAAGGAAGGCCTTACCATACATCCTACTTGGACCATCTATCCTAGCCATTCAGTCTGATCGTATTTACAAATTCACACTATCATATTACAAATTTAAACTCTATCCTTTCTTACCATAAAGGTCACACAATTTTTCATTCTTAAACAATGCACACATACATACACAAATTTACATACATGTCATTTATGAATCACCTTGACAAAAATGACATGACGTCAACTTCTTCAGACCTGTTTTTGATTGATCAAATATTATTTTTGCATTGTTCCGTTGTACTATTTAAACTTGCATTAATTTTAATTTGGTTATTTATCCTCTGAAGAAGTGACTTACACTAAGTCACGAAACGTCAGAAAATCTAATTTTATACTCATTGGGATATTACAAATATATTATTTATTTATAACAATCAACCCAATGCTCAATTTATTCGAAATTATCAAATCAAACCTTGGTAATGATACCTATTCTTTCGGATGTTCAGTAATGGGCGTGAGTACAAGATAATTCTCTCAGTTCTATGTAACATGATTCAATCGTGACCGCGATTCTGCAAATATATCCATCTACTGTTTTACTTCCAACCTCTATCCTACATTTACTTTACATTTTCCACTCATTCATTTGTTTGTCCATTTTATATTTCCTACATCTCGTTCCTTTCCTGTGATGTGTTACCTTAATGTATACACGTTTGTTCAAAAAATTTTGTATCCCTATGCTGAAATATTATGAATATACCTTATTGTGTATTATGAGACTATAAAAGGTTTCTAAATAAGATAATCATCATTTTAAAGTGATAATAGATTGTAACCTCTAGCAATATCATTCGTTTTTGACTTAGGAAAACTGAGGACTAGACTAAGTGGAAATAACAATGAATTTCATTGCTTATAACTTCCACATACTTCTAATGGAGAATATTAACATAATTATTTAGGTTTTTTGAACTTTCACAACACAGGTAAAATGTCGAGAGGATGAGCGTTCATTTCATTCTGCTATCGAAAGGTTAAAAAAGGATTTAACTGATCTTAGTAAACAATTCTGCAAGTTAGATACTGAAGTTCATATGGTATCTGGAAAGTTGGTTCATTTAGGCGACCAGTTAGAAAGAAAAAACTTACCGAGAAAACGAATTGAAGAGGCACGTGATTTGATACTTGAATTTTATAAATTCTGGGGTTTTGGCGGAGGAAGTGTCACCAATGTAGTAAGCGCTCAATCAGATGAAGCTCAGGTAAGTTACCTTTTGATATAACCTGAGGAATAAGCCTTGTTATATTATGTGAATCAAGTCGTCTGAAAATATTTTCCTTATATTTTCTAATAATCAGAATATCCTATTTTCTCCATATAAGATGCTTAAAAGACACAAAGTAGCGTACTTACATGTACTTTGTTGTACAAATGATTATTTCTTTTAAAAAGAGTGGGAAAAGTTTGAGCAGTTTATCATGAATTCATTTTATTTCGTCTAGTTCTCGTCAACTACTTACAACCTATTATATTTATCTTCTAGATTAGTGATCTTTTTTTAGCTAATCTGAATTTACTTATTTTATTCCTACTTATTAAGTTTACTCACCATGTAACCACTTGTTTTTAACCCTGTAGACTTTTGTTACTACCGATTTCATTGAATCTTCTTTTAAGTAAGATATGTATTTACATTGTATTTTGTCCGTTAAATTCACATACACCCTTGCTATACCATACTGATGTTTGATCATATCAACTTCTTAAACTCCACGTATACACCAATTCAGCAGATAAATAAACTTTTCGGTTATTCATTGTTTCTAGCCGAATTAGTAGCAAACAATGCATATTCTGAACCTCATCTGTTCTGAACCATATTTCCCTTTGTTACGAAGGCTCAGATGAAATTTTAAGACAATAAGATTATATGTTACCCTGCAAGGATGATTTCGACTTTTTCTTTTGTGCTATGTGCTAACCATGGAGCATTGGTTACTTTTGAGAAACGGTGGTTTTCTCTTATTCGCTCCTTATATTCCTGTATGAAGTTTTTAAAGTGGATTAGTGATTTATTTTTCATAGTACTTTAAAATTCACTTAGAAGTATAATACATGATTATAGATCCAGATATTTAATTATGGCTTTAAATGCCAAAATAAAGTTATCTTTGTACAATCATGTTATATAATTTTAAGTCGTTATTGCTTATGTCCCACCATCTAGCTCTTTAGAAATATTATATTTTTGACTACTCTATGCATCCACCCATTCCGATACTAACACCTTAAGCTACATCAACTTTGAAAAAAATCGAAATAGAAGTAACTTGTTTTTTTTTTAATATCTCTAGAGTACTTGCAACAGATCTTTTAGACATAGAAGAAAAATTTGCTTGCTGAAGTGTTTAACATGTGGATATAAAACTAACTTTTGTTCTGGTTGCAATTTACTCTTGAAAAAAATAGACTCTTCAATAGAGAGAAATTCATATTTGTTGGTAGTAACTTTTCCTATTCGATTATTTAAGCTTTGAGTAACGTTTCATACTATAAAAGTTACCTTCTGAATCTGTTGTAAAAGTTGTGTTTTGCACGTGACACATTCTACATAGTGCATTTTAAAAACATTGAATATTAATGTTTAGATGTTTATTGTAAGAAATATATGTTGCAACCATGGGCTCTCAAAAAGCTTTGTGTCGTATCACGTTGGTAGTGATTTTGAAAAAAGATCTCGTAATTGATCGTGAAACTGTATCATTCAAGTTTCATAGCTTTGTATAAGGTGCTATCTTATTCACTGTATGTGTTAATCGTCCTAGAATCGGCACTTCATTTATTTGCCACTTTTCACTGACAGTCCAAACTTGTATCTCAACCCATTTTACTAGTCAGTGGCAGACACTTAATTTCCGAATTAGTATTTTCGTATTTGTCAGTTTTTACTCAATCAAGACTTAGTCTGTATATGTCTAACGACAGTTTAGAGAAATACGATGAATTTATATTCTTCTAACCGTCCTTTGTCCAATTTTGGTAAGGGAACCAGGTGCTCATAAATGAGTATTAATTGGATTTTGTGGTGATAATAGTGGAAGTATTAATGTGACAAGCGCTTGCATAAAATTAAGCTGTTAAAACAGCTCATTATTTCTGAAGTGAGTAGAAGAGTGTTTATAGTTATCACTCCTGAATGAAAGTGGATTTTATTCTTTAAAAGATATGATAACAAAATGAAATTTATAGTATGCACTTTTTAAATGCTCATACTCATGTTTAAACTTCAGATCTTGTTTAGTGCTTGAATTTTACGCATTGTAAGCTTTAGCGTATGTGAATAAAAATTTAATGAACGAGTTTTTAACCTTACTTCCTTAGCTACTTGAGGCCGCCACTCGGTTCAAAAATTTGAGTTCGTTGTGCTTGGAGTTACCTGATGATGAACGTTTCTTAAATGCAAAACAAAGAGTTACAGGTTTGTCTTTTTTACTGGCTTTCTAACGTAATTAATTTCAGTTGCCTGTCAACACTTGGATACAGCTTTACTTGAACGATTTAGAGCAAATTTTCTTACGGGTAATGTTGAGACAATGAAGAGCATAGCAGATGTACTTCTTCTTTCCAAAAACTACTCTCAATGTGCTGAGATCTTGGTTGAAGAAACAGTAAAGGTAGATTTACTTTATATACTTTCGAAACATCAGTTTCTCTGTTGGACTGCTTACGTTCATAGCTTAAAAAATTGTAGTTTCGACAAAATTTTGGCAAGAAAGCTTGAGGATCAGTACATTTATTATTGAATTTCCGCAAATAGGATTACCGACTATACTGGGTTGAACCGGCAGTATGATGTTTCTCACAGGTAATCAGAATGTTGAAAAGCGCTACTTTTCCGTTTTTAAGATGTCTTCAAAACACAACTGTGCTTACTTCACTGTGTTCCAGTTAGTCATTATCAGCAGAGTCTGGAATAAGTCTGCATCACCCGAAGTTTCCATACCATATTAGCTCGACGAGATGAACTTCACAAGATGAATAGAAAAAGATACTAAAATAATGTAATAGCAATGATAATGAAAAAAGTTCACACTGGTATCAGACAACCTTGAAATTCCACTTTCTTTACGTTCTACTGAAAATAAGGCCTCTGAAAAGATCTATGAGTAAAAAGGTCAGTATGAAACAGTCAATATACAATATCTATAACTGGTTTTTATTGAGTGGGAAAAGTCGAATTGCTTTTATTTCTTCAGTTTAAATGTCTATTTTCTATACGTTATGGTTCCACAGTCATTATCTACTAATCACTTATTTATTCTTATCATAATTTTCGTACATTTCCTTTATTGTTTTTATTGTTAACAGACAATAGATCCCAACAAGATTCATTTCAAAGATATTACAAGGTGCTTGGTTTCGAGTGAAAAGCTCATTATGACCTTATTCTTACGACCAGATTCAGTCCTGATGCAACTAATGCATAGTCTTTTCACAACAAAATTAAAAGTACGTCAAATAAATGACGTTGGCAGTACACTTCTAGAAACTCAGTTTATATTTGAACTTCATTGTCATGTGATTTGTCTTAATCACTTTTTTCAGCATTCTTTGATTGATTTCCAACCAACTCTAATGTTTGAAGACTTGATACTACATACCGAGTAACTGAATTATATAACTAACGATTTTTTTATACATCTCGTTGCAGTTTGGATGCTCATATTGAAAATACCTTAATGACTAAATAAATTAAATGCGTATGAATACTGTAAACGAATTTTTTCTTGTTGGACTCGACCTTTATTGATAAAGGTCGAAATCTGAATTTTTCTAACTAGATACCAGTGCTGTACTGAAAGTTAATTTTCTGTCGGTTTATAAAGTGTTTTTTCGTCTACTCTTGTCAATAGATTGTATAGTTTTAATGCTTAATATCGTCAACATCATACTATAAAACTCTATTTTTGCAAAATGACCAGGTTGTTCGGTCTAACAGACTTAGTAAGCTATGAAATTAGACACTACATGGTTTCGTGACATGGGTATATTCAAATAGTATTCCACAAACTAGATTGGGGAAGATTCCATGTTTAACGTTTTGATGCATTTCTTCAATTACATTAAAAATTGACAGACACAGAGATAACAACGTATAACTCTACATTGGTCGCTTCAATGGAAACTACTTATGTTAACAATCAAGTGAATAAATTTCCAGATAAAAATCCTTCTCAACACTGGGAATCCAAGGGTGTTTGGGAATCAGTTAGACATAATTTAATATCATGAAGATGTAGGAATAAGTAAAAACAGCTCGCTTACACCTTTGTGACCAATTTTTTATCCTGTTACTTGGGGTCTGAAACCATTAATTGTTTACACCCCGACATCTTGTGGTGTGGGGTGTTGTTTACGGAATTGAAAGGATGAAGAGCGAGTGTCCGGCGCTTTAACCGGGTTGGTGGACATGGAGAGTCCAGTATTCCGACCAGCATTCTCCAACCCACTCTGTCCTGGGCCTTTTCTAGTTCCATCCAATTCTTGTTCACTTTTCTCATATCTATCTCTATTGGTCTTCCTCTTTTCCTTTGGCCTTGAGGATTCCATGTGACGGCTTGCCTTGTGACGCAGTTGGGTGCTTTCCTCAATGTGTGTCCTATCCACTTCCAGCGCTCCTTCCTGATTTCTTCCTCCGCTGGGATCTGCTTTGTTCTCTTCCATAGTAGGTTGTTGCTGATAATGTCTGGCTAACGGGTCCGAAAAATTTTGCATAGGTAACTGTTAATAAACACTTGTATCTTCTGGATGATGGCTTTCGTAGTTCTCCAGGTTTGTAAATATGCTGCTCTTACTTTATTGATCCGTGCCTTCACATCTGTATCAGATCTACCGTGTTCATCAATGATGTTGCCCATGCTCAACCCTCCTCCTTTATCCGGGCTTGGGATCGGCGGTAGCCCCAGAGGTTCTCCAGGCGTCCACTCAACTTACTACGAACTTATTCCCGATTCAGCCAGAACAACACAATCGAATGATCGTTTGACATGCCCTAAACATAACCAAGTTACACCAATCAGTTTGGGCACACAAGTTCATGGATTGCCTTGCGTCTCTTAATTACAAAATGATGCGTAATTTTAACACTGCTTCACCTCACATGATCAACACTTCGAAGACATATGATGTACTACTATCAAATAGTTTTGGAGATAAACCTCTTGTGTATATAACAGTTGGCAAGCAAAGTTGACCTGCGTGCTTTGTGCACATCCTATGTAATTTTACTAAGCTTATATTTCATCTTTCATTACTGCTTTATATTAACTAAGTTTGCTAACACTTTACTGTATGTGTCAAAATAACCAACGCCCCACGCGAAATTTTAATCCGTTTTCTTAAATTATCAATCAGTGACATAAAGATCAGGCTGTTATGTGTGATTCAAACTCTAAAATACAAGACCATGACGCGTAAATTATAAATCATAATATGTACAAAACTAAGACATTTATTATACAAATAATAGGTTCATGACTAATTAACGGTAATCTATGGATGGAAAAAGATAATAATAACAACTATCAATGAGACAAGTAGGAGCTTATAATTAAGAGAATATAAAACTACCGTAAATTAATCGTTTAACAAATGCACCCAGAGAATGGCTCCAAAAGTTTCGTAATTCATACTTATTTTCCTCGTCACAGAACTTTCTAGGCATATAATTTGTTTGATTTTTTAATTTATTTCAACTTAGGTGTACTTGAGTAATCATATGAAGGAAGAATTGAATGCACAGGCATTTTTAACCAATTTGTACAATGAATATCGAAAGTAAGCGTATAATTGCAGTTTTACACATATTCTTGTTTAGTAATCTTAGTATCCATTTACAATATTATGTAGAATAATAGTGATTTACTTAGGTGAATCTCAATAGTTTTGAAAATAGTACTGTTTTTACTCTTTATTGGTACATGAAAATGCACATTTCATTGGACTTCTCAGTGTTTGTTGTACATAAAATACAGTTAGAAAATTTTTGTTCAGAGCTAATCATTTCTTTTATATGTGTGAGTTTTACGCTTGTAAGTGTAGGATGTTTATCACTAAAAACCATCGTAGATTTCAAGTAGACATTTTTACCATGTCATTTACGACGATACTGCAGTAAATGCTTTTAAATATAAGTTCAATACTTATACCTATTGCTCACTATCTAACTAAATACAGTTTTCATTGACTAGGTTAGTTAATTAAACATTATCATTTATACCCCTTTTACTGTTTTCTACTTTCAAAAAAATGAATGTAATTAGTTAACTCAAGCAAATGTTGTCAATTTCACTACATTTTTCCTCGTACATTCTTGCTGTTTTTTGGTCAATTGTTTCTGTTTTATTTTCGATAATAAATAAAATTCATTCATCTGTTAATTTATTGGAGCTTTTGTCTTATTTCATTCTTGGCTGTCGTACATATAATTCTGATAGTTTTATGTATCTATTTTACAAATTTCAGCGTTGAAAAATTGGTTGTTGAGTTATCTAATGAGTTAACCTTAATTACGGATCCAATGCAACTGTCTAAATTATTTCGGGAATTATTTGCTCCATATTTAGTCGATTATATGAAACGAGAATCTGACTGGTTAACTGAACGCTTAACAGGTCATCTTGAACATTATTATCAAAGTCAAAGGCATCAAAAACGTGCGCTAAATGTTTCTGGGTTAGTTTCAAAGTTTTTCATACACTGTTACAATTCAACAGTGATTAGCTTTCAATAATAAAATCTTGCTGATATAGTAAAGTGAATATTCATAGGTGTTCATCTGGTTTATGAGGAATAATGTACTTATTTCCAGTAACCAATAAATATTAACTATTCCTTTGTTTTTAGCTTGGCCGAACTTCGTCGAGACCTCCAAGCAAAGTTTCATATCACTGGTGGTGATCGATCACAAAATGACTACGACATATCGTTGTTATCCGAAGAAGTCGCTGTTAATATTATTGAGGATATTCGGCGTGCTGCCAAACGATGCTTGCTGGTAAGATACTGAAGCTTAAACTTATTTTAAAAATAAGCATACTTAGGATGTAGACAGTAATAACTTAGTCATGAATTCGTGTAATAATCTCCAATCTTTTTACATCGGAAATATGTTATTTAGAGAAATAGTTAAAATTTCGTAAAATACTAAACTTTATAGTATACTTTCGTCATATAATGAAAGGCTTTCTTTGGTTTCATTATATTTATGCAGTCTTTTTGTTGAAGATTTATTTACAACTGAAGACTACTTCAAATAAAGTATATGGTATTCTGAATGGATTTACACTTATACGCCAGTTTTTGAAACAATCATCTATTCATCTCTATTTTTCATCGTTTACAGTGGCTAAGATGCATTTATCCTATGTTTAAAAATATCTGCTTTTTACTCCTCAAAACCGTTCTTTCTTCTTCAGTTGCGTTCTCTTTGCTTAATCTTTTCTACTATAACTGGTGTTGTTACTGCTTCTGTTATCCTGATACTATATGTCTTGATAATCTTACTTAGCTATGGTGAGACGGTATTGAAGTTGGGACCAAAGAACATATGTGTTAAGTTTCATATTTGTTATGACTGAATGAAGTATCATTGGAAAGTATATTTTTTCCTATTTGGTTCATTATTTATCATTGATATGGAATATTTAGTTTTTGTAATAAAACCAATCTTAAAATTGTATATTTGATGACATTTGCCAACTGGTTATTTATGTATGTTGTGGTTGTAGACAAATGATCTAAACTATTGATTATTCTGGAAACGATAAGATTTCCTATTGTTTTAGTTTTAAACATTTTTTCCTAAACTTTTGTAAATGTAACTGTGTATCATTTTTGTAAAGTAAATACTAATTAATGATTGCTTCAATATGTAGTGAAAAGCCGATAATAGCCCGTGAATATTACGTTTTTGACAATATTTTATTAAATGAAGTTTAGGTAAGAGTAGAAATGGTTCTTAACATTTTACGTGAAATATTTAACTGAAAACATAAATATTAAAATTTATTCAATTTATCAGTAAATCCATTGTGAAGTCTCTTATCAACCAATCAGCATAAACCCTTTCATGTTAATGAATAAAGAGGTTGTACACTAGTTTGTATTCAATACAAGTATTTAAATAAATAAAGTTAATTAATTACCATAGAACTTTATTTCATACAGTTTACAATGTGTAAAAATAAACTTGAATAGCTACTACTCTTTAATCTACTTAATTGTTCTAAATATATATATATATATATATATATATATATATATATATATATATATATATATTGTTCAATTGCTCTATAGTTATCCCAACCTACTGCTATTCCAGACAATGGCAAATTCATATTTAATTGTTTGTATCACTATCTAATCGTTGAACACGTGGATTATGGTGTTACTTTAGGTTTGCACGGTAAGTCCATTGCATCAAAAATGAATATGTTCTTTTTTTATACGAAAATGGACATTCTTATACTATTCAGTCTATATATGTTTATAATACAAGAATTGGATCTACAGTTAGGTGTTGGAATACTAAGCCATAAATACTGTCGATAATATAGAAATATTATCAATTGGATAACCATGTTTAATAGTCATCGATTAATGTAAATCTATCAGTAATCTCATTACAACAAATACAAAGCAGAAATTCACAGGTTTATCATATAATTTAGACGTTGAAAAAATATCTCATCGATTCTGTAGTCATATACTTCGGTAAAAGAATTAACAACAACCACGTCCAGGTCAAAAACCAGCCTGGTTTTCTCTAGTCTACTCTTCACGAGCTTTGGTTAGACGTCGAAGTATTATTGAAGCTAATATTTTAGACACTATAATTGGTCAAACTAATTCCTCTGTGATTGTCACAGGAGGACTTTTGTCCTTTCTTATAGACTGGCTGAGATTTCGTCACACACCAAACCGCAAGGGCTGATGAGACTTCCGAGATAAGTGAAGCGGTCGACACGCTCAACTATTTCACTCCCTATCACTAGTTCGGGTGTCGACGCAACCCAATCCTGAAGCAACATTTTGCATTTCGAGGGAGAAAATCGCATGCCGAACATGCTTGCATTGTTGCTTAGAGTGGTCAGCAGACTCTGCATTCTGTCAGCGTCTTCACTAAATAGAACTATGTCATCGGCATACTCTAAGTCAACAAGTGAATCTCCCGGTAAAAGTTCAACTCCTGGAAATTTATATGAGGAAAGTGTTATTTCTAAAAGCACGTCAACGGCAAAGTTAAACAAGAATGAAAAGAGTGGACAGCCCTGACGAACACCACTTGAGGTAATCAATTCTGATGACAGTTCACCATAAGCTCTCACTCGACCAGTTGTGTTCGAGTAGAGAGCCTTTATAAGGTTAATGTACTTCTTTAGTACTCCCTTCAGTGACAAACACTGCCATAAAACCTCACGATCAACAGAGTCAAATGCCGCCTTAAGGTCGAGAAATACTGTCATTGTGGGGCGTCTGAATGTGTGTCTATGTTCTAGGACCTGACGTAATGTGAATATTTGATCAATACAACCACGTCCAGGTCGAAAACCAGCCTGGTTTTCTCTAGTCTGCTCTTCACGAGCTTTGGTTAGACGTCGAAGTATTATTGAAGCTAATATTTTAGACACTATAATTGGTCAAACTAATTCCTTTGTGATTGTCACAGGAGGACTTTTGTCCTTTCTTATAGACTGGCACAATCAGTGATTGAGACCAGTCAGATGGGATTACGTCCAGTTCCCAGACTCTACCTAAGACCTCAGTCAATCTCGCTGCTAATACTGGACCGCCATCCTTAAAAATTTCAGGGGTAAACCTGTCAGGGTCTGCTGCTCTCCCACGCTTCAGATTTCTTATAGCTTTTTCAACTTCATAAAGACTCGGAGGACTTACATCAACTTGCCATTCAGGTCGACTGGAGATCATGGGAAACCGAAGTGTGGCTGAAGGCCAGTTGAACTGATCCCTAAAGTGTTCTGTCCATCGATCCAATCTAATGGATTGAGAATGAATAATATGTCCATCTTTCTCTGCGATTGTTTCGCTAACAGTTGGGTTCCTAATCCCGGTTTCCTTAACAAATCTGAACAGTTGCCTGCTGTTACCTATTGCTGCTGCCTTTTCCATCTCTCTTGCTTTCGCTACCCACCACTGTTCACGATCATTGCGTAAGCTTCTAGTCAGCTTACGCTTAAGCTGACTCCGCTCTTCGTTATGTTCAGAGCCAGATGGAATGAGTTTACGAGCATCTTTCAGTGCGGTAGATGCTGCTGAGATCCAGTGTTTCTCCCTAACCTTATGGTTTATCGTACTTGCAGACAACACTGCTGTTTCTACAGCTTTTCGGATGTCATTCCACGCTGCCTCGGGGTGGGCATCACTTACATGGCTGTCTAACCGTTCTTCTAGTTGTTCCTGAAATATACTCTTAGCTTGACTATCATTAAGTAGTACCCTAAGGAGTTTCCTTGTACCATCTTTCCTACGTCCAGTAAGACGTAGACAAATACGCGTTCGCACCAGAGCATGATCTGAATCTAAGTATGTGCTCCAGAATGAGCAAGCCCCTCCATCGGTGGCTGATAGCGATGTGATCTATTTGGGCCCAGCGTTGAGACGAATTATGGGGTCTCCATGTAAAAAGATGTTTTTCCTTATGCTTAAAGTTAGTGTTTGCAAGAAACAGGCGGTTATCTGAGCATAGCTGCAACAGACGGTCGCCGTTATCTGTTCTTTGAGCCGCGACACCATAAGATCCACCCAGGTGTCTTTCCTTTTCGCTTAGTTTACCTACTTGAGCATTAAAGTCACCAGCCACTATTACTACATCTGAACGCCTAGCTTTTCGGAGAAGGTCGGAAAGCTTTCTGTTAAACTCATCTTTTACATCATCTGAGCTGCAGTCAGTGGGAGAGTAAGCAGAGACGACGAAGAGGCAATGACGAGTGTCCCTATCTTTTCGAGTCCTTACTGTTCCGTTTAGTCGGACAGCACACAAACGACTGTCTACTGGGATCCAGTCTAGGAGAGCTAGTTCTGCCCTAGGATTCAATGCTATACCTACGCCAGCGAGGAAACGGGAAGCAGCATCAGGGCTTCCAGATACACGAAGCGTAAATCGAGTTGGTTCGTTACTTTGACATGGTGCGGTCAAATGAATGACACTACTCGGATCCTGTGTGCGCGTTTCGGAGACGCAGCACACATCAATGAAGCGAGGTTCTGAAGTCCTAGCTAAGGAAGCCTGTTGTCCTATTTGGCACAGTGTTCGGACGTTGAAAGCTCCTACGTGTAGTTTGGAGCGTGGTTTCAGGAGACCAGGAATAACATTCCGCGTACTCGAATCGTTTGCACTAGCGGGGCGAGGTGATAAAGGGACGTAAGAATGGTTAGTCGTGGAGATAAGAGAGTCATTAAGAGGTGTAGGAAGGATTTGAATGTGACCAACTTGGTCTCGTGCGCTGTTACGGGTATGAGGGCTGATGTCACTTCCCGGCTGCCCACACCGTGGAAGGGTATTTCTTGAGGAACCTGAAAAGGAAATCGGATTAGTGTTGGTCTTAGCGACCTGAGTGCGTGACCGCAGAGCCCAAGGGACAACTGCTTGAGGCCGGTCGCGCACGGCCTTTTTGTGGGAGGTTTTTAATGTGTTAGCTCCGTTCTTCAAAGGGCCTTACCGCCGGAGACGGAAATCCGTGGGGTAAGGTAAGGTGTGACATTTTTTAGGGTCAATCTTTTCTAACCCCTTCCTTCCTTGTGAGAAGGCAGTATCGCTGCAGATGCTGGTTGTCCGAGGTAAACACCTTACTGCTGTCACACCTCTGTACAGTCAGCAGTACGACTTCGCCCTCAGACCTTGAGTTGCTGCTTTTAGTCTTCCCGTTCTCCAAACGACCTGCCTGGCATGGTAGAACCTGCAGGAACATGTGTTCCAGCCAATATAGCTCGGTTGGGTCATCACGATAGGCGAGAGTCAATAGTTAGCTTTAGTTACCTCGCTCAACTAATTAACAAGTATGGATAAGTTTGTAATTCGTTATTAATTTTTTTGTTTTTCATTTAATTATGACTACGATTTAATAAGTTTAACTCGAAAATACTTTTTGATTTCTTTGTATGATATATCTGCTACTCGAACGATTTCTGGTGACTTCCTATATGGTTTTTTTATCCTCAGCCCACTCCACGTGAACTAAATATTGTCGAAAGGCATTAAGAAGGGATAGGAGTGTTCACTGTTAATTTACGTGCAAAAAGAAAGCTTATTTGTACGTTTATGAATAACAGTCCACTCAAAACATGAATTTTTCTAGATGTTTCTAGGAGTTTTCTACTTGGTGCAGATCAGATAGTGTGTTTTCATCTTTTCTGAGCTTCTACAAGCTTTATTGGTATATTCTTAAGAGCTCCCAAAACTATACTTCCAATAAAAGTATCTACTATGTTACGTAATAAAATCATATTTCCCAGTATTCTGGAAAACTCCATCCTAGCAAATAATATAGTCTTCACTGATTATTGGTTCATTTATTAAGATTTCTATGTAGGTTCACGTTCTAAATTAACTAAACTTATTAGTTTTTCTGTAGGTGGAGAGAAAGTGAAGAAATCCTGTGAATTTATTATATTTTAAAAACACTTATGTTGTTATTTTAGATTTGTAAAGAGCTTTAAATGGATCATTATGAATTATATTAAATCAATAAGTAATGATTAAAACTATAGTAGGGAGTGTAAAATAGTAAAAAATAACAAGTTTTCACGCTACAAGTGGTTTGAAAAAAAATCAAAAATAACTATTACTACTGTACTTTTGAGTGTTTTCGATCACTTATTCAGTCATTCTTAAACAATGTATCACAAATGTATATCAACTCACGTTGCTAATCCTCGTCAGTACAGCTAATAGAAATTAGTTAGAAATATATCAAGGGATTTTAAATAATTATATCACTGGCAATAAAAAAAATTAAACGTAGTAAGTATGGTTCGTATAGAATGAATGAAACATATGAATAAAACGAAATCTTCACTTTTGTTTTTAGCTAAACCTTTTACAAACTTCATAATAATGAACTTTTTGAAGATTTTCATATCAGCGTTAGAAATCGTTTTTGATCACGGACTGTCATCGGATGAAAAACCCAAGTTCAATCAATTCACGGTATTACGCGATGACTATTATCCAATGTTATGGGTGATATCTATCTCAATTCAAATATGGTTAAATGAATTTTGAAATGTTAACGATTGAACTCCAATTAAGTGGTTCGTATATATCGTTCTAATTACGAAGCCTAAAATTTCATGCATTAGGTTTTGTGCAGAGCAGTGTGTAGACCTTGTTGATGGTAAAACAGTTTCTTAGTGCTAAATGTTTTTGATGCTTTCCCAGCTTGCCTAAATCCGTGATGAGAATTTCCATTTCCGTAATTACATATGCACTGCTTCTAAGTCAGTCTACTGGTATTAGTATTTTGCATTTTAGTTAGACATTTTCGATTCTACCTGCAGTAAAAATGGAAGTATATTTTATTAATGCGTTTTTGTTGTAGTGAATAAAAGCCTTTAAACCCTAGGTATTAAGGTTTCAATGTGGGTTTCTTAAAAACAGTAGTGATACAAATAACTGTAAATGCTAGACCAAATAGTCCTAGTACAGTACATTACACTTAACCGACTGTGATCAGAGATAATAGAAATTCGTAGTTAAAATATATAACTTAAATTAAAAGCAATCGTACTTTTCAGAAGTCCATAAATAGATTTCTTAAATAAGTCATTTTAAGTAAGGGCGAAGCGGCCATCGCGTGCTCCCAGGTTTTCAATGATGGTCTAACATTGATCGGTTCATTATCTTAATAAGAACTCAAAAACCTCCACAACCCTATACTGATCGTTAGATAAGGTGCTCAAGTTTGTATAATTTTGTCATACTTTCATATACTTGTTTGCAAATAATATTTGAATGGCTTTTACGCTTTGCAATATCAGGTTTGAATATAGCCGATCCTCGAAATAACAATCCACACCTAGTCTTCTTCTCCATAATTCATGAAGCCACATCAATTTTTCACTTTTTCGAGAAAACAATTGATGAGTCCATTTTACCAATGATTATGTGAGTATTTTCTGAATATTTTTTGTGCCACTAAAGTTTCTAAAAACGCCTTAAGTACATAAATTCAGTTTTTGAATGTATGAGTCTTTTTAATTGACCTAATAACCTATCTTTTTCTTATACTGTTTAGATTATTTGTAAACATTTATATTTTCTTGTTGATACTCGAGACCACAATTGATTAGTTGCTATTTACTTATGTACACCCCTAGAAAATGTAATGCTGTGGGACACAAATATACGAAATCTTAGAAATTCTGTCCACGAATATGTTACAATTATGGATGGAAATATTTGAAAGATTTGATATTATTTTGACTTAATTAGATCAGCTCATAGTTTAACTCTCAACTATGTATAGTTTAAAATGCGATTTACTACGAAGTTAATTTCGACGTAATATTCCCATTTTCAGGACATTGTGATCTCCAAGAGTCGTATATTATTTCAGTTGATACAGACTAGTACTACAGTATAGCTAAATGTGATTCAAAATTTGCATCATCCACTATCTTAAATTCAGTGGCATCCTGACACTGTATCTAAATTGAATGATTCATTTTGACCTGATAACTAGAAAAATAAAAGCATTAAAAATGTTTAATCAACCAGAGACTAGAATTAATTGACTAAAAAGAAACTCGGAACTATTATTTAATTACTTACTCCACTTTCCCCTCATAAGAACGTAGGCCGATGACCAAGGTTCTCATGGGCTCTCCTTTCTAGTTGTTCCCAGTTGCTGTTCATTCCTTTAATGTCTACCACCGATTCCGCACGCAATGTGTTCTTGGGTCCTCCTCTTTTCCTTTTACCTTAAGGATTCCAAGTAAGGACTAACCTCGTGATGCAGTTTGATGATTTCTGCAATGCGTGTGCTATCCGTTTCCTAATTTACTCTTCATCTGGAAGTTTGTTCGTTTTCCGTCACAGTAGGTAGTTGCTGATGGTATCCGACCAACGGATCTAGAGTATGTTGCATAGATAATTGTACATAAATACCTGTACTTTTCTATTGATGGTTGTAGTGGTTCTCCACGTTTCAGCTCTGTACAGTAAAACTGTTTTAATGTTTGTATTGGAATTTCTGACTTTGGTGTTTTGTGACAGTTGTTTTGAGTTCCATGTTGGTGTGTGGGCGAAGAAAACGGTGATTGTTGTTTTGCCTAGTTAGGCTTGTAGATAGTTTGACAGGTTTTAGATGTGTTATATATTTTCCTACATTTGTTAGTATTATTGTCGGTTGTTGACGCGGAAATATACCCACGTTTTAGTCATGCTAGCCACCTGATCTTGATCCGACTTGTGTTGAAATCCTGTAGAACAGACACTGGAAAGGTATATAGTGTAGAAATTCCCCTAAGGGAAATTATTGCTCCATTGGTGTAGGGGAGAAAACCGAGCGTTATTTCGATATGTTTTTCAATTGAAGGAATTCTTCCCTTGCTTTGCCAATCCGTGCTTTCACTTCTGCATCAGGTCCTCCTGTTTATCAGTAACACTGCCCAAGTACGTTAGTTTTCACCTGTCCCAGATCCCCAACAAGTTCAATTTGGTTGGTGCTCTGTGGTGAATTTTAGGATCGTGTTTGTTCCCTTGTATAAATCGAGGCCTACTACAGCTGCACTGGTCGTATTCACCTGCATTTTTTGCTGCGTATAGGATCTACGAAGTCAAAATCGTCTAGTTGCATGCAAGCTGTCGATCGTATTCCGTTTTTCTCCTTGATATATGGAGATTTTCATTATCCAGCCAACCATCTGTCAGTTGCCCTCATGACTTTGCAATGAAGCCCGTCGTATGAATCCCACATGATGTTGACGATTTTCTCAGCTACCCACTCTGTGTCGGAGAAGGTTCCATAAGGTTCTCCTATTCAGTGTCAAATGCTTTCTCATAGTCAAGGAAGTTGATGTATAGTGACGAGTTCCACAATGATTCGTAGTGTCGCGACTTGATGTGTTCAAAACCGGTCCTTACGGAATCTGGCCTGTCGACTTCGAAGCTGATCGTCTACTAAATCTCTTATCCTGTTCAACAACACTGTTCAAAACCCTTTCTGGTACTAACAGTAGTGTGGTGCCTCTGTAGTTTTCACACTTGTTCAGATCTCCTTTCTTTGATATCTTGATGAGATATCTTTCTTTCCAGTCTGTCCTCATTTTCCCCCCTCCCAAATCTTCATCAATAGAAACGAAGTATGTTTTCAGTTGTTTCTATGTATGACTTGAGTGCCTTAGTTGGTGCTGCTCTTTACTTTCTTGTTTGCTTTAGTGTATTCAGTTTGTGCCTTGACTTTCACTGTTGGAAACTTTTCTTGGTACCGATAGTAGTGTGATGTTCTTGTAGTTCTCACAATTACTCTTCCCTCTCTGTTTTAAAGGATGCTTTGATGATTCTAGAATCATGAGTTTCCCATCCTATTAGCACTTTTAACGCTTCCTTGGAGAATATCAGTGCAATTCCTTTCGTATGCCGGGCATATTTTACCGCCAGAATACAACGTTATTTCTCCCGAAGCTATAATTTTCTATCCAACTTGTATGAAGCAGGTTTCACTTAAACAAAACACAACCAGTTTCTATCTTCTCATTTCCTCTGCTACTTGAATAGCCTTTCCGATCTCCCATAGTATGCGAACATTCCGTTTACCGATATCAGTTCTTGCTCTGCTTGTCAGAAGGAGCATCGGCCACGTGATTTCCTAAGAGTCTCGGCTTTCATCATGAGGCATCATAACTCTTCTAAATAAAGACCCTTCAACTCGCAGGACTCCGAGAGTGACCTCTCAAAGCTAGTCACTAGTGAGTAAGTGAAGTAAGCGTGAGCACTGTTGGATTCAGGCTCAGTGGTCTAGAGGTTAAGCGTTCGCACGCGAAACTGAAGGTCCTAATTTCGAATCCTGTGTGCAGGATTGTGGATGAGTACCGCTGAGGAGTCCTATACTAGGACGAAACGGCAATCCAGTGCCTTATTTATTTACTTGAACGCATAAATATTGGTACAAGAGGGCACCAAATATATATGCGCCACACAAAACACTGAAATTTGGAAGAGAAAAAAGAAGGTATGGAGCGTGTAATAAAAAAAAGAAGAACAATAACGACCACAGATTAGTTTATGCCAGTGTAATAATAATAGTAATGGGGAAAATGAAAGGTACAACCAGAAGAAATCTTTCAGTTAAGGAAGATATAACCACTTTTTATGAAGAAAGTAAAAGAAGGTTACAGCAGGATCTCCATAGGCTTCCATTCTGATTCATATCTGATAACGTCTCTAGCCAACGTGTTGCACCATCTCTAGGACCCCGGCCATGCAGTCGTGAAGGACCAACAGAAGCCAGCCCTTTGCAACTTTCTTTCATATCACGACACCATTTCATACACCGACCACCTCCGCTTTTTCCAACCAGTCCCAGCGTCGGCAAATAATGCACGACCTGGAATTCTTTGGAACGACGTGAACTCTTTTCAAAGATAGGAACAACTATCGACTCAGTACACGACGTTGGTACACTCTCTAGTTCCCACACCTTTGTAAACAACGTTGTCAGTTCCTTAGCCAGAAAATCACCATCATTTTTATAGAGAAGCCCCAAATCCAGTGCGTACAATTGTTCTTCTTTTTCATCTCATTAATATTAGTAGCAATGTGTCTTGTTAATATCCTTTACGTGTGATGTTGTACAATGACAGTTTCCTTGGAACAGGGTATTTGTGTTTAATTTTTATATTAGACCACTTGAAAAAATTAGATGCAATTAATATTATGTATATTTCAGTACAAACCCATCATATGCAAGTGAAATATCTGTCAAACGTAACGAATTGAAACAAGATTTGGAAGGTAAATTCTGTACTGGTTTAGAAAAGTGTCTAAATCTGGCTATTTCTCGTGTTCAATATCTATTATCCAGTGAACAGCGAAAAACTGATTTTCGCCCAGATATAAATGCTAACTCAGGAATAATTGCCGGTAATCCACCATCGCTTGTAAGTTTTCTGGCCAGTGGTTTGTTTACGAATTATTCTAAGGAATATTTAACTAAGTTTTCTGCTGTTTAACTTTCCACTGAATAATGAGTATTTGACTCATAAAATCCGATCAAAATACGCTTTATTATAAGTTACTTTGTCACCAATATTAGTTTCAGGACAAATTTGAAAGTGTGCTGTACTGTCCTGTATCTTTTCACAGAAATAGTCTATTCTTATTTCGTGTTTATTTGCAGACTATAATAGCATCACTTAATCATGTGGGGGTCATCGTTAATTGCTTTATACTATCTGCAGTTAAAAAACTCAAGACTGATCCGCTACTGTATCTCCATTTGTCTTCAGGGGCAAGTCTAGAATCATCTACAAGTTTTTGTAGCTTACCCGACCGTTGTTGCTACCTTGACGTGGTGGTCGGGCTTGCCTATCGTGATGAAGCAACTGAGCTATACTGGCTGGAACCACCGTTCCTCAAGGTCCTACCGTTCCAGACAAGTCGGTTGAAGAGCGTAAAGCTGGAAGCAAAGAACCCAAGGTCCGAAGGCGTAGTCGTATTGCTGACTGTACAGAGGTGTGACAGCAGTAAGGTGTTTCCTTCAGACAACCAGCATAAAAGCGATGCTGCCTTCCCACAAGGAGCGGTGGGGTTAGAAAAGGTTGACCCTAAAAAATGCACACCTCGCCTTATCCCACGGATATCCGTCTCCGATGGTAAGGTCTCAACAAGTACAGAACTAATACGAAAATTACTCACAAAAAGGTCATGTGCGACCGACCTCAAGCAGCTGTCTCTTGGGCACTGCAGTCACGTTCTCAGGTCACTATGACCACTCCTAATCCAAATTCCTTTTCAGGTACCTCCAGCAGAACCCTTCCACGGTGTGGGCAACCGGGAAGTGATAACCGCCCTCATACCTCTAACAGCACTCAAGGCCACTGTATTCATAATCAACCTCCCCGTTCCATTCCTATTATCCCTCCTACATCGACTTTCAAATCTAAACTTCCTCTTTTGGTTTCCTCATGTGTCTCCATAGCCGACGATTCTAGTGCGCAAAACACTGTCTCAGGTCCACTGAGACCTCGCTCCAAACTACACATTGGAGCCTTCAACGTACGCACACTAAGCCAAATCGGTCAGCAGGCTTCCTTGGCTAAAATCTTAGAATCTCGTACAATTGATGTATGCTGTGTCTCCGAAACACGCATACAGGATCCTAGTGTGGTCATTCACTTGACCTCACCTCGGCAAAACGGAGAGCCAACGAGATACACCCTCCGTGTATCTGGCGATCCGACGGCTAGTTCTTGTGGACTGGCAGGTGTAGCCATAGCACTAACAATGAGGGCGGAACAAGCGCGATTAGAATGAATCCCCGTTAACAGTCGTCTATGCGCTGTTCGGCTAAACGGCTCCGTAAGAACTCGGAAGGATAGAGACACACGTCGTTGCCTTTTCGTCGTTTCTGCCTACGCTCCCACTGACTGCAGCTCGGGTGAAGTGAAAGATGAATTTTACAGAAAACTCTCTGAACTTCTTCAGAAAGCTGAACGTTCAGACATAGTAATCATAGCAGGTAACTTTAATGCCCGGATAGGTATCTTAAACCAAACAGAAAGACATTTAGGTGGGTATTTTAGTATTCCGGCACAGCGAACAGATAGTGGTGATCGTCTACTGCCACTGTGCTCAGACAATCGTTTTTTTTTAGCAAACACAAATTTTAAGCATAAGGAGAGACATCGTCTAACATAGCGACCCCCTGCACCAAACCAACGATGGACTCAAATAGACCTTACCGCCATCAGCTATCGTGAGGGTCGATAGTAGATTGTCACTCATTTTGGAGTACCTGCTTGGACTCCGACCATACCCTAATACGAGCACGCATCTGCTTGCACCTCACTGGACGCAATAAAGCCACATTAAAAAGACCAATTAGAACTGAACTGAGTAACGAAAAAACCAAAAGTAGGTTCCAGGAACAACTGAGGTCACACTTAGGTAGTTCTGAAAACGAGGCTGATCCAGATGTTGCTTGAAAAGATATACAATCAGATGTGGAAACAGCTGTGACTTCTATTAGTGATTTATACCAAAGGGTTACAAAGAACCAATGAATTTCTTCTAGGTCTATCGCACTGATGGATTCTCGCAAACGCATCCCATCAGGTTTTGAATACGATCAAGAGCGTAAAGAAATCAAATCTAGATTAAGCAAAAGTCTAAGGAATGATCGTGAGCAGTGGTGGGCAACGAAAGCAAGGCGGCGGCTATATGTAACATCAGACAACTCTTCAGACTCATAAAAGAAACTGGAACTAAAAAGTCAAGTGTAAGTGAGACTATCTCGGAAAAAGACGACACTCACCTGCTCCCAACCCCAGACGTTTAGAACAGTGAGAACAGATCAGCTGGCCTTCAGTAACTCTACAACTACCCTCCATTCCGAGACTGTGAATATAACATTGAAGTAGGTCCTCCAACTCTAGCTGAAGTTCAAAAGGCTATAGTTAATCTAAAACGAGGAAGGGCAGCTGGTCCAGATGGATTTCCTCCAGAGGTCTTTAAAGATGGTGGTCCAATTTTAGCGATTAGGTTGACTAATATATTAACTAAAATCTGGGAGTTGGACGTAATCCCCTCTGATTGGTCACAATCACTGATCGTCCCAATATATAAGAGAGGGTCAAAATCATCCTGTGGCAACCATAGAGGGATTAGTTTAACTAATATAGCATCTAGAATACTAGCCTGAATAATTATCGGACGCCTAACTAAGACTCATAAACTGCAAACACGAGAGAATCCAGCTGGCTTCAGATCTGGTCGTAGCTGCATCGACCACACATTCGTCAGGTTCTAGAACACAGGCATAGTTATCCGCGTCCGACAATGGTGGTCTTTTTTGACTTAAGAGCATCATTTGACTCTGTAGACTGAGAGGTTCTGTGACAGTGTCTGTCATTGAAAGGCGTACTCAGAAGTATATAAACCTTGTGAAGGCTCTTTACTCGAACACTACTAGTCGAGTCAGAGTTAATGGTGAACTGTCATCTGACTGTGCAACCTCAAGTGGTGTCTGTCCAGGCTATTCATTTTCTCCATTTTCGTTTAACTTCATCACAGATATACTGATGGAAATAACTCTCTCATCGACTGAATTTTCTGGCATTGATCTCCTTCCTGGAGGTCCACTTATCGACTTAGAATACGCAGATGATATAGTCCTGTTTTTGGTGAAAACACTGATAAAATGCAGTGTTTTGGTAGCACTGAGCAACACTGCCAGGATGTTTGGAATGCATTTCTTCCCTCTAAATGCAAGTTGTTGCTTTGGGACTGGCCTGCGTCAAAACCTGAACTAAGGTTAGGGAGTGTAGTCGAACGCGTTGACAACTTCACTTATCTTGGAAGTCTGATCAGCCCTAATGGGTTGGTGTCTGACGAAATCTCAGCACGGATTCGAAAAGCTCGCTTGGCCTTTGCCAACTTACGTCATCTATGGCGAAGGCGAGATATCCGTCTATCAATAGAAGGACGAGTATACTGCGCGGCAGTTCGTTCCGTTCTACTATACGGCTGCGAAACATGGCTCTAAAGAGTAGAAGATACTCGTAAGCTACTAGTATTTGGCCACAGGTGCCTTAGAAATATTGCGGGTATCTGCTGGGATCACCGGGTAAGTAATAGTGAGGTTAGACGCAAGGTATTAGGGAATGATGGTAAATCAGTTGATGAGGTTATGAATCTTCATCGACTGAGATGGTTGGGCCACGTGTTGCGTATGCCTGAACACCGATTACCACGACGCGCAATGCTGACTAGTGTGGCGGATGGTTGGGTGAAAGTTGGGGGCGGCCAAACCAAAACGTGGCATCAGTGCTTGAAGACACTTACTTCTGGTCTGAGCTATGTTGTTAGATGCAGACTACCTGATTGGGGTCCGCGTGACTATCGTAACTAATGGTTGGAGACTGTTGGTGGCATGGCTCAGAATCGATCACAATGGCATAGGTGTATACACTCTTTGTCTTTCCTCAAACTATGGGATTAAAATCGCTTCATATCTTTCTTTCTACGAACTAGTTCTTTCTTCCTGTATCATGTCCTTATATGCAATCTTTCTTTTATATATTACCACCACTGAATTAACTACTTCTATGAATTTGGTGTTCATCTTGTTGTGCTGATGAGGTATGGCAACTTTGACCGATGTATATATGTGCCTGGCCCTACGTTGCAGCTGACTGACTGAATTTGTAGCTTGTTGGTTGTATGATTGAGATGATACTAAATATTTCCAACCATTACTGTAGAATGTAGCTCAGCTCTCTAAGTCGTTTGCTGGTGTTTAACTGAAGGTCCCTTTTTGGATGGTAAAATTCGGAGGGTAATCTTTTAGTTGGAGTCATACTTTTTTCTCATTAGAAACATTAATTATATCGCCCCCTACAACGACCCAGAACACTGAGACATTTATTGAAATTCCTCAATCATATTATCATGACTGCCTTCGATTTTTTGAGCAAGACTGGTCTGGAATTATCTTTTGTGGTAGTGTGTGTCCGTTAAGTTTATGGACATCCTAAAGGTGCTGCACACTAACACCTCTCCGCTGTTCCACTCCAACAGTATGATTATGTAAATTTGTTTAAAGTTGCCACTCCTTTTCAACTTTGCTTTCTATAACATTCTGGAAACGGCTGTGATGGAATTCGGTAATAGTGATGTGGGTATGCTACTTGGCGAAATTTTCCGACTTTGAATACGCAGATGGTGCTCTACGATTATGCTCAAGGTATCTTGATTGTACTTGGTCGGATGACTATCAGTCTAGGTGAGCATGGCATGTATTATGCACCTTCAGCTTGCAAAACTGTCAGAATACTGTGTCTGTACCAATTTGTAGTGATCCTTTAGAAGTAATCGAGAAGTGTGGATATCTATGTATTTATATGTGTGCTAGTGGTGGCACGACAGATGAATCCAGTCTATGTATAGTAGAAATCGCAGTACTGTATGTCAATCTGGACTATCTTTGGAGTTGCTGTGTTAGTTTAACTGTAGGAGTTCGTGTATAAAGGACATCGGTAAGGACAGTTCTGCTCTGTTTATCAAAGTGGCCTTGAGTGCTGTTAGAGGTATGAGGGCGGTTATCACTTCCCGGTTGCCCACACCATGGAAGGGTTCTGCTGGAGGTACCTGAAAAGGAAATTGGATTAGGAGTGGTCATAGTGACCTGAGAACGTGACTGCAGTGCCCAAGAGACAGCTGCTTGAGGTCGGTCGCACATGACCTTTTTGTGAGTAATTTCCGTATTAGTTCTGTACTTGTTGAGACCTTACCATCGGAGACGGATATCCGTGGGATAAGGCGAGGTGTGCATTTTTAGGGTCAACCTTTTCTAACCCCACCGCTCCTTGTGGGAAGGCAGCATCGCTTTTATGCTGGTTGTCTGAAGGAAACACCTTACTGCTGTCACACCTCTGTACAGTCAGCAATACGACTACGCCTTCGGACCTTGGGTTCTTTGCTTCCAGCCTTACGCTCTTCAACCGACTTGTCTGGAACGGTAGGACCTTGAGGAACGGTGGTTCCAGCCTGGTCCTACGTTGTAACTAACTGACTGACCGATGTTTATCAAAGATAGCTCCTCTTAGATGGGATTATCTGATTATCGTTGTCTTTAAGGTGTTCCTCACATCCGATAACAAGACTATTTTTTAGCAATCCAGAGGTCAGGTAACGCGTGTTTGGGTTCAGTGACCGTAATTCATTTAATGCCAACATGTCAAGAAACTCACTTCGGAGACTTGGACATATTTTACGAACATTTTCCCTGCGATCACCCACCACCAGGTGTTGCTCGTTTACGCTAGGACGCTCTGAAAAAGGAGAAAGGCGGTTCGTTTTTGACATGGTGCCATATTATTGAAGAAAGGTGTGTGAGGCTGGTATCGGTTTGTCCCATCACGACTCTCTTTTCGATGTCCTAGAAATGGTGCAACTCACTGGATTGAGACATTGTCAGATATGCCTTGGAAAAGAATTTGTGGAGACGTAGACTTCAATGTAATCTTGGATCAATTCAGTAATTGTCATCACTCAATTGAATTAACACTAAAAGCAGAGACTAACGCGGAAGCTCAGTTTTTCTGTTGTTTTGTTGAAAAAAGGCGAGATAGTTCCTTACGAAAATCTATATGTAGGAAACCGACCTCGAATGTTCATTATACTAGTTTCTTTAGTTGGGTTCCATTAGGTAGAAGGAGAAACTTAATTCACTTCTTATCCTTGATGGCTAGGCGAATATACTATCATACCAAAATAGATGACGAACTACTGCAACTTCTACAGATACTCATCAGAAATAGCTATCCACATAGATTCATTGCTAGAAGCTTAACGCCAAGCCACCGATAGTCCTAAAAAAATTTTTATTAATATCGAATTTAGATGATATATACTTTCCGAAATCTTGGATAAACGAATTTCAAATTCCCTGAATAAATCCTATTCAGCCAAGCTTCGTATTGCCTTCTCAAGTTTCCCTATCATTCCCGGATACGTTAAGGATAAAGTCCGGCTTGGGGCCATATCGATGTGCATCTATAAATTTACTGGCTTTTGTGAGGCAGGTTGCACTGGGTGCACAAATAGAACATGTCTCAGAGCATTACTTTTAGTTTTTAAAAGGGGAATGAAAAGCTACCACTTGCTCGATAAAGGAGCACCTGGTCAACCCTAGTTATGTCACTCTAGAGGAGTCGTCCTTTAAAATAATCCATACAGTTGAAAATAATTGAATCAACGGGAGGTCGAATCAGAAATTCATGTAATGTTGAGGCGCTGGAAATCCACCAATGTAAGTCCGAACTCTGCTTGCAAAAATGATGCGCCCAACCTCTCATCCTTTCTTGACTCTAATTTGTTTTTCCAGTGTGCTTTAGTTTTGTTTTTATTTGTACTTTTTTAAACCGTAATCAGTTATTACTATCCTCTAACACTTTCCCATAAATATTATCTATTAAGTGGACAATTACCTCTTATGTTTCTGATCCGTAAATTATTTTCGTCCTCCTATTTTTCAACCTAATGATCATTACGCAACCCTATTTGATATTTCGGATCACTTTATAATTCGATCTCTTCTATCCCTGTATAGACTCATATATTTATCAAACAACTATAAATATGAATGTACAGCTTAATTAACTGACTTCATCGGAAAGAAAATGTTTTTTACTCAGTAACTCAATGGGTTACTTTAATTGTCTGAGTATTTTTATTAAATGCTACACTTGTTCACCTATCAACTGATGTTATTACTTCGTTTGCATAACGCACTTTTCAAGTCCCCTATTTTACTAGAATTCGGACGTGCCACAAATCTCTCCATATCTAGTTAAAGAAGCGAACGTGGTGTTCTCCCCTCATTGGTTTGTTTTTTACGGACCCTTTTTATCACATAGCTTGTATCAGTCTGAAATACTACGATTTGTTGCTAAATGTTATTTTTCTTACCTACATACTAGGCATGTCAACATGTGGTCGCTTTCGTAACCCACATCAACCGTGAAACTCATCAACACCTAGATGGTCAAAATTTAAAAACATTTTTACATGAATTTGGAATGAAACTAAATCGCACATTGGTAGATCATTTTTACAACTTTACCTTCTCTGACACAGGTAAATATTTATTCATGCTATAAAATCCTTTTCCTCTTACAAATTAATCCGAAAAATTCAATGAGATAGTCTCGTACTTCGGAGATATTGATTTCACGTAAAATGATGAAAAGGACACGTACGTATTTATAGTAACGACCTACTGGTTGTAAAAAGAAACCAGCTCATCCTTGTCATAAACTTTCTCACCATCTGAGCAAAGTTCCCACGTAAATTAAAATGTGACATAACAGAATGTTAACTTTCCAAAGAATAAGGAGTCTACTGTGTGTTTTACTCGGGTGCATAAAAATCGAATTTTCCAGAACAAATAAAGTTCGAAACTTGATGAAATGGAGGTCGTCTTTTTAAATTGGAGTACATGGTTCACAATTTCAAGAAACCTTATGTAGGAAAATGTTGATCGAACGCACTCGTATCGAAACCTAGTGTTAATGCTTAGTTTCGTATGTACGATTTCTTCCTCTTAACTTTAGGAAATACCAAGCTATGGAGTTATACTGTAGTTTATTCAGTTTCGTTCAATATTTATTACACTATATATAAATACTTTAATTTGATATATACCCATGTCCAGTTCCTTATCGATGGGATGAAAGCAAGGCAATGTTTCTTTCAGAGATGGGATTTCTATTCCTTTTATTCTATATTGACTAATCTAATTAATACAAGCGCGACTATTCCAAAGTAGTAATTAATCAGTTTATTAGTTTTAGCATTATCAGAACTGGTTACTCTAAAAACTATATATATATATATATATATATATATATATATATATATATATATATATATATATATATATATATATATATATATATATATATTAGTTCCGTGCACATTTCCTCATGTAGTGTGGCCTAACACTTATGACAGGGTTTCGATTAAAATCAAATCATATGCTTGGTTTGGGGGCGAAAATCGCATCGCTAGATAAATTATGGTGCCTAAACCAGAATTTATAGTTTTAACACTGTGTTCAAATTACATATGTTATGCGATGGGTGAGTTAGATTGCTGGTAGCTGACGAAATGATATTTTACTTTGTCAGCTATTATTATCTTTGACAAGTTATCTGATCTACACTCACGTGTATGAAATGTATGGTGATGACTAACCACGTATATTGAACTACTGTCTATCTCAGTCTTTCTTTGGGTCAGTATATTCAGAAATATTACTTACTTTCTTACGCCTGTTACACCTCGTGGATGAGCATAGACCGCCCACCAACATTTTCCATCGAACTCTCTTCTGGGTAATCCTTCCCACTTGCTACTCATCCCTTTGTTGTCTGCTTCCAATACCCGGCGCAGTATATTCTTTGATCTTCCTCTTTTCCGTCTCTCTTTAGGATTGCAAGTTAATGCTTGCCTCGTGATGCAGTTTGATTATTTCCTATCCACTTTCAGTGTCTCGTATTAATTTCCTTTTCAGCTGGTTTGTTTTCTCCCACAGTAGATTGTTGCTGATGTTGTCCGACCAACAAACATTGAGTATCTTTTGTAGACGATTGTTTATAAATACCTGTACGTTTTTGATGGTGGCTGTAGTAGTTCTCTCTCAAATGCCTTCGTACGGCTGAGGTTGGGGAGAGTCCGCTCTCCCTCTCGAAATGCTCTCACATATCCACGCGTATACAGCCATTATCAGAGGGGTACTACTCACTGCCTTCTCGCGGAAGGGGTGTTGTTTACGAAATTTTGCGGATGAAAAGCAAATGTCCGGAGGTTTAACAGGGTTGTTGCACACGTGAGATCCATTTAGAGAAGTTAGAAAGCCATTTTGTTGAATGCATATAAATTTGTAAATCTGTCACCATTCTCGTTTCTTTCTCCTTGTCTGTGTCGTCCCATAATATCTTCATACGCGATGTTGTCCATCCTGACTTTGGCGTTTAGGTCTTTCCATCGGGATGGTCATGTTCTTTTGTGGGCACTTCACTATGATCGATTGCACCCTTGAGTAGAACTGATCTTTATCGTCGTCATTGCTATCATTGGTGGGTGCAAAACATTGGATAACATTTGTTGTGATCCCCTCCTTTGTTTTGAACGATGCTTTGATGACTTTGGATCCCTGAGATTCCCATCCTACGAGTGCTTTACGTGCCTCTTTCGACAGCATCAGAGTAACTCCCTGAGTGTGTGGAGCATTTTATTCTTCATAACTAAAATACAGCAGCATCTCTCTTGAATTTCTTCCTTTCTGTCCACATGGGTCTAATAGGTTTCGCTGATTCGGAGAACAGCAGTTGTAACTCCTCATATCCCTAACTATTTCATTGGTCTCCCAAATTGTCCGGACATTCCATGTACTTATAATAATTGTTGTTCTGGTTGTTAGAAGGGGCATCGATCTCGTAACTTCCGGAGAATCTCAGCTTTCACCACGTGGCGTCATAATTCTGAATAAAAAACCTTCAACTCTGAGAACAGAGTTCAAGTGGTTTAGTTTGTTTAATCTGGTTATTTTCTACAGGATTGGGTTGCTTACCCTACGCCCAACCCTCTTCCTTTGTTTGGGCTTGGAGCCGGCAGTATCTTTAGAAGAGCCATGTGGGGAGTTATATCCCGAAATATAGTAACATTGTATTCGATTACTCAGTTGAACGGATATCGATTGTAGCTACGCGATGTATATCAGATTACAAGAGGGAGAACGAATCATAGAGGATGGCTAATTAGGAACGGTACACGTTTCTTCTTCGGAATAAATTTTATCTACAATGTATCCTCAGTTTTATTTCAGATTATCAATTCTACGAAATATTTATCAATACATTTATTAGCTGACCAGAACTAGAGTAGCTGATACATTACGACTTTCAGACTGCGTGGAGCCATAAACTACGGCTTAGATTATCATGATGTGATTTGATTCTTAAATGTTTAGTACCATATGCTGTAAGACTTTGTCCGTTGAGACCTCTGCTGTCAGTCAGGCATCTACAACATAGGACCAGGTACATATATGCATCGGTCAAAGTTGCCATACCGCATTAGCACAAGATGAAAACCACATTCTTAGTAGTTACTTCAATGGTAGTAATTTATAAAAGAAAGATTGCACATAAGGATATGATACAGTGAGAAAGAATTAGTTCGTAGTAAGAAAGGTATAAAGCGGTTTTAATCTGTTGTGATCGATTCCGAGCCATGACTCAGTCTCCAAGCATTGGTTACGATAGTCGTGCAAACCCCAGTCAAGTAGTCTTCATCTGCCAATATGGCTAAGACAAGAACTTAGTGACTTCAATCTGTTGTCAGATACATATATATGTCAATGAATTTAAAAATTCATGAGACGTGGTCGATCTAATTGATTACGAAGTTTGTGGTTTGAAGTTTATTTTCCAGAAACGGCGAAAACCGCACGTATCTTCGTTATATACAAGCACTATGTGCTTAGTCTTGCATGAAAATTTACAAAGCTCTTAAGGTTAGGTTATGCAACAAATTAACTTAGGTCTGCCCTTTTCGTAAATCCAACAGTTTACAGAACCTTACATGTAATCAATACATCATTCACTATGAATTACAGCTACCGCCAAGTGTAGCTAAGCAGCTTACTCAGAGATACATTGTTCAGCACTTTATATTTAGCATTCGAACATCTGACCTAAAGTACGCTAATTTGTAAAGTTTATGGGATGTCCAAATATAACAGAGTGAATTAGAATTTTGAAATTTACCTCTGCGTAAAGGCATATTACTCGCCTACTTATTCATTTACGGTAGTTTATTTTTCAGTTATTCTCTAAAATACCTGTTGTTATTGTATACAACTTGTGAACTAAATCTTCATTTTTCAGGTGGATTTGTTGCAATGCAAGATGTAACCGCCTACCGAGAAATCGCAAAGCATTTTGAAAGTCCAACTGTTAATGTTGTTTTCGACGTACTGTTTAAGCTGATGAATCTCATGTTGATTAAACCAGAAAACGTACAACAAGTTGTTCAAGATTATTTGCAGTCAGGAATGCCAAGAGATCTGTTGATGAACTTCATTCAACTCAGAACAGATTATAAGTCAGCGAAGCTACAAAATGTGATACAATTCAAATCAACAAGATAATTTTTTGGATTATTTATCATTAACAATTCGTGTTCTTCAAGTACTCCATAATTTCTTCATTACTTGCACCATTTTTAAACATTTCAGTTATTTTTTGTGAATATCTGTTATTAAATAAAACCTCAGCTGTTAGTGGTCCTTCCTCAACTAGCTTTGATTGCCATGAAACGTAAGGTTTTAGTTCACACTTGTCTAAGTTATTAGGTACAATAAAATCCAAGTGCATTTCAGGAAAAATGATTTTTTGACCATATATTTCCATGGATGTTGTCGGTTCTCTGAAAACTAAAATTAAAAAGTTAAAATATCGTACCTGGGAATCCAAGGGTATTTTGCACGAGCTTTGCTTTTTTTTAAGTCTAACATCCAGTGGTATCTTGTCTTATAGGCAACTTTCTGGCGAAACCTTAAAGGTCCCATTGCTACATTGATAGTTCTTATTGATTGTGATTTGTTAGGAGAAATTAAAGAACTTGGGATCAACCTTGTACACTGCATTACCTAGGGAATTATGTTATAAAATCTGTAAGACGATTGTAAGCTAAGATGCTACATAATCACCATTACATAATAAAAACACTTTGAAATCACATCCGTGAACATGAAGCTATTCGTTGATTAAGTTGTCATAATAGATCACGTTTGACTAGTGTATATTTTGTGGCTTATCACTAGCTATTCATGCCCGAATAAAATTGAATCTTTTCGAAACTATAATACAGTTTAGTCACACACACGGTCAGTCAATAACGACGTAGGACTTGTCACAAATATGTATCACTCCAAGATGCCACATTTCATTACAGAGAGAGGAAACTACCATGATAATGAGCATATGTGAATGGCAATAGAAAACTAGAAGTAAGAAGTTCATCTCAGAAATAATAAACAATAACCCACGAGAAAATTCATGGGATGGTTTATCAGATTTGTAGGATATGCAGTAAATACAACTGTATCACTACAATCAGTTTTGAACCAGGACCTCTAACAAAAGATTGTGCCCATTGGACGGATCATGATCAAGAAGCTTACTGATCTGGACTAACAGTCAGTAGCTTCATATGCCGATCTAGTGTTTTGGTCTGCATGTTTTTGCTTCTCTCAATGTTACTCAGCATTCCAAGTCCGGTTAGGAGATATTGAGGCTAAGGTTAGGGTGCTGTGCAAAATTCCAACCCACCCAGGTGTTTGAGGTATGCATCACGTGCGCCAATTTGAAGTGATTAAAATTCTTGACAGGTTCTAGTTCGTGACATACCAGAGAATGATTTATACACTACCTAAAGATGTAGAAGTACTGTTCGACAATCTAAAAAAATCTCTTACAAGCGACGAAGAGGAATTAAACAGGATTGGTTTCTGTAACGTATAATGCAACGTGTTTCTATAGAAAGTGTTGTGTGCTGAAAGTCCGATACCAATCAGGAAAACAAAGACTTTATAAAACGATAACAGTAACTCGAAAACAATAGACAGTACGTTGATACATTGATTTTTTTTTCTTGGGCTTTAGGGCCGGAATGCGCTGATGCCCATCATGTTGACTTTATGAGTAGCTTTACAAAATACGTGAGTATCATCAGAGATAAAATTTAATATAAATATTTTGACTTAAAAATCACGGGAGTTATAATTCCGAATTTTAAGCAAAACTAAAAGTTTTCTGTATTAACGATTACCTAACAAAACAAGTTTAGTACAGACGATTTGCAAAGACCTAACATGTATAGTCTAAAGGATATATATCAAATACGACATTGGTAATAGCGAACTGCAACTAGTGGCTTTTTTCGAACTGCGAGAACGGTAGCACTTAACGCTGGATTGAACAAATTGCGGCACTGTCCGTTGAGAACGACAAGTTAGCAAATATTTTATGTGCTGTGACACCGAGTGTGACGTCAACAAACTTTCTCTTACGAAAATGGAGTTCTAACTAAATACAGACAGACATCTTATTGTATGTGACGTAGCTGCTCTTCGAAAACTTTATTTTAAATGTCATTCAGTCGACCATACTGGTAAATTAGAAAGATAATGCACTTAACCCAAACAATAAATCCGATTCCAAACAGGATCTACCAGACCGTTAAGAATCAAGAGTAACTCTGTGGAGATTTCACACAGTGAGCTCAGGGAAATCCCATTATAAACAGGTTGGAAACCAACAAGTTGTAAATAAGACTTTCGAATTGGTCTAAAATGAGTAGAAAAACACTTGTTACAAGAGGATAAAACGAAATCCATGCACGATGGAAAGTGTTTATCTTTAATACATTTACCAAAGCGTTTGGTGTTGTCACGAAGTTACGGTGCATATAAGAGCCTACGAATCTAATGCAGAGGATCAGTTCAATTATCGGTTAGTGACTAATCATTAACTTTAAGTTTCCTAAGAATTTGTACGAAGTCAATTAAAATAGGTCAGCAAGATTATGGTATATAGAATATAGAGGCTGATGGATCTTAACACGAATTTCAAAAACAACAGTCTTCAGTCTTCAGTAATAAGGATAGTAGGTTAGTGAACCTGTGTTAATCCTAACAGGTTGGCTTCCAGTGAAGGTCCAGTTTCTCTTTGAAAATATTCACTGATGGGGCTGATACCACTTGATCGGGCAAAGCGTTCCAATCATTGACTACTCGATGAGAAAAACGGAACCCCACCTTGAGTTTAATAGATCGTGGTTTGTGAACCTTCTTGCTATGACCTCGGAGATTATTAGTGCTGGAGGGAGCAAAAAGATAAGACATATTAACACCCAAATCATAATTAAAGATACGAAATGCCAGTATAAGGTCACCTCGAGTCCTACGATACGACAAGGGGAAAAGGTTTAAGCGTTTTAAACGCTCATCGTAAGGGAGTTTAGAAAGACCCTTCACTAATTTCGTTCCCACACGCTGGACACGCTCAAGTGAGGTAATATCCTTTATCAGACATGGGCTAGCTGCTTGAATACAGTTGGTAGCTTGCAATATGTCACAACCAGAGTTCCAACTCAGCAGAACTCGCTACGTTTTATTTAGACACAGAAAATTGACAGCAAAACAAGACAAGAGGAGAGAAACAAATATCTGCGGTTATCAGAATGACGAGAAATTTATTGGCATTGAGCTACTAACAAAAAAGAATGAGAATTTGTGAAAAGAAATACGGGTGAAAAAGTGAACCGATGACTCATTCAGCACGCTGTATGCAACTATATCCAGTGATCTATATAACAAAAGACAAAATTAACACTAGAATGGGATTAAGACAATTTGACAGTCCGAAGTGGAGGACGATTACAAACTCCCTCCATATTTTTGAAGGACAACCAAGGTCCAATATTGTTGATCATATCGAATTTGTGTAATAAAATCTAAAAACTTACAGCTTGTGTTACTCATTTCGTATAAATTTTTGACGGATTTATAATTTTTTTAATGACTCATCTGAATGATCAAACATCAATCCCTTATGCAGTAGTTTTGAAGTGTTGAGTACTTACACCTCGAACTGTGATTAGTGGAATCAAATGACTGCTCATGAGAAGGAAATACTGAAAACGCTTTTTACGTCACATGTTCACGCTTATGTTCCTTTTTCTGCAGACTTGCTGCTGAATAGTAAGAGAACATTCTTGACGATAGAAGGCGATTATAAAATAACACAGAGTGGACATCTTCATCAAGCTTTTTCCACAATTTTTTTCACAGGGTGCTGCCAGGATTACTTCCGTTAGGTTTTTTTATTAGCTTAACAGCTTTGAACACGAAAAACGTTCGCACGGATTTTTGGGCTATCTCGTTAGTGCATCATCCTATATGAATACCCTTTTCAGAGTAGTTTATTATTAGACAACACATAAGGAGTAGAAGTTGTGCCTGCAGTTCGTTCTGCTATGTTGTATCTCTAATTTCTGGGTGTTACCCCTTAGGGTAGTATTGGGACTAAGCTTAAGTAGGTGTTTAAGAGGATGTCCAGAAGTGTTGAGGATACTGTAAGCCATTAGAAGGTCACCTTTAAGATGCCTGCACTCTAATGGGGAAAGGTCAAGTTATTGGAGGCGCTCTTCGTAAAGTTTAAATTTGAGTCCCCGAACTGATTTCGTGGGTCGCCGTTGGATACGCTCCAGAGTGTTTTTGTCCTTTTGGAGTGTAGGAGGAAATTCTGTTTCCGTACTCTAAATAGGGATGAATAAAACTGTTGAAGATTATGTGGAAAGTTCTTCCTTCAAACTTGCCAAAAATGCGCTTCAAGGACTGTTTGATGAATTTCCATTTCCGAATGTCAGAGTTTGCTTGACTAGGGTCCGTGTTCTCCGGTACACATTGCACAATTATACTTCTTCCGCGGAAAAACTTCTCGCGAGATTCGTTAGGGATGTTCCGGATGAGATTGCTCTCAGAATACGGTATGTCGGGCAGTATTCTTACGTTCCCATCGGATTTCAGCAACTGACTAGATAGCAGAGTATCCTCTACGTCGGTAGCATTGTTAAGCGTTACACGAAATAGCCTCGGGTGATTTTGATGCCCAGATTCCTATCTCCGAGTGACCGTCAAAGGCTCTATTCTAGGAAGCTCAAGCTTCTTGTTCATTTTACCTCAGAGCATCCTGTCATTTTTGTCCTGCAAACTGAGAGGAAGGTCAGGGTTGTCTTTGAGGTTCATGATTATGAGAGTGTCATCACGAACCGTTATTGTTTTCCCAGGTTTTCCGGTGAGTTCATGTTCAGCACGTTGTTGTTTGGAGGTCGAAGCACGTTTCTGAATCCTAAGCTTTCTGATAACCGGGCGGACATTTTTTGGGGGTAGACTGAGCGTTCAAATCACCAGTTGTTTTCCGTTCAACACTTGTGATGTTCGGCTTGGACGGTGACTCCTGGTTCTTCTTAGCTCTGTTGATGTAGGCCCAATCACATGCAGAGTTTTTGGGAACCGCTGTTGCGTTTAGGGACCATGAGCTGGGAGGCCCGAGTTTACTGAGAGAGTTTATTACCGTTGACGTGATGATGGTGCTGAGTTTCAACATGTCATCATTATTGCTAATGCATGCTCCATCGATGGTAGACCTATTGACATTCCTATTCTTGTTTCCATTACGTGCCTTTGTTTGTCTAACCGTTTTGTGACTGTCTTTATACAAGTTTGCTGACAACTTATTCCGCAGACTTGCCAATAGGACAATGATGTTACTCAGCAATACTACAGCATCCGTACTGCACGTAACACAGACCCACTTATGATCCGACTTGCTCAGTCTGTTGTAAGCAGTTGCCGTGAGATCTGTGAACGCTTCATGTGACGAACCTTTGAAGTTTTCGCGCTGCATTCCAGATGTAACAGCAAAACGGCGTCCAGGTGGTTTGCACGAATTTTTCATGACTATATTGGCGTAAAGTGTATTATAGATGCTAGCAAAAGCCTAAGACTGTTAAAAATACAGTAAAAAACACGCTAAAACTGGAAAAATGTATAAAAACGGATGAGATAAACTGAACTAGCCTTTACGTGAAAAACTGAAAAAAAACCGAATTGCAAGCTGAGGCAAAACCACCGAACGTATAGCTCAGAATAGATTCTTTAGATCAGAAATGGTCTTCCTGTTGCGTAAGAACACGGCAAAAGTTTGAGAAATGTAAACCACGTTGGGACTAAACTTCCCGTTCGAATAGCGCGCCACTTCAGATTGTCTCAAAATAGACAAACACACACATAAAGATATTCGAGGATTCCTTTCATTTCCCAAAATTAACAAAACAATATGTTTTCAAGTTTCACACTGAAACTAAACTGTTATTTCTGCATAAGGCATGAACGGGCATGTTTGTAGAACTCTAGCCTACTTCATTACTAGTGCTACTATAATAACAGGCCTAGACCTAAAATTGTAGATCTGTCATGATATAACTGCCTCATCTATAAGATCTTACATGGAAGTCACATCGTTGTCTACACCAGCTCGTCGCATAGTAACAATCACCAAAAACACTAAAGAATGAATACGCCTGCAAGGCCGAGTCATGCCATTCGATGAATTGAATTAACTGAACGAATTTTCCACCATTATTGCCCTCTTCTTAGTGTTACATGTTGAAAGTCTATTTTCACAGTTATCTCATGTTCAGCTTTGAGTATTGTGGTTAGGATCTAGTGCCACTATACGTTTACCGGCCCGAGGCTCACTTAGAGCGTGGATTGAGTAGTGGTTACTAGTCAACTTCTCAAGCAGAACTCCATTCCATGTAGAGCTTGACGTGTTGTCCAACGCACGGAGAACTAAGTCCATTATGTTGTTCTTTGTCCACTGGCTGCTATGTCGAAATAAACCCAAGATGCTTATGGAGACAAGGAGCACACTTACCTCCATGGAATAGATCTTTGGCATGTGAATACAAAATATGACAACATGGCAACATGTTATCATTGAGACACTCATAATCACATTGTGTACGTGTAGCATCAACAACAGATATTATAACCTTGTCGTTGCAGCGGATGTATTCTCGAGCTATGACTGTGTCTCATTTTACTAACTAGTTTATAATTTTTAACCATAGTTTTCTCTGCAAAAGCTGGCTTAAAAGAGACTGGGGTGAACTTGTAGCCCGAAATTGATGATGCATTTAACTGCATTTCTTACCTCAAGCTTTGGAAAACGTTGAAGGTGCTTCATAACGTCAGATGGACGCAAAAGTAGGTCAGTATCTGAAATACTCCAGACTTTCCTAAATGTCAGTAGACAGAACCACCTATTCTCAGACCTTTTTAAGATGTTCATCAGCACTTTCCACACGATTGTTTGTTTGGTTGCTTGAGCTTATTACATGCTCCTGGTAACAAAGAAACCACATTGACCTCCGAGCAATCCAGTGACTTTCAATGTAATAATAGGCCCGCGAAAAATAGGTGCTCAGGTATTCATAAATCTGAATATAATTAGTCGTAAAAAGCGAAGCTCACATGTTAGGTCTCCTGGTTTTTACGGGATGTTTCAAGCATTTGCGAACATTGGAATTTCTGAACTACAGCAAACATTTTCCAGGAAAATGCTCTGAAGACATGAAACTAACACAGTATTATGTCGGCATGATTGTGCATAAACTGTACCGCGGGACTCTCGGTCGCTGATGAAAGTGCGTGTATCATATTATACGTCTGAAGTATTAGAGTAATTTTATGATGTCTTCTCGTCGTGTTTGCCTGCAAA